GGGTCGTTCTCACAAGGGTGGACCCGCCATGTTCCTTTTGGCTTGTCCTTAAACGCACCACAGGGTGCCCTACAAGACATATCCGAATGAGCCTCAGTCGTGCCCTCAATGACATGGGAACGTGGCAACCAAAAGTCGCCATGGCTCCAACGTGGTCTGATCTGGGTTCCGCAAAAAGCCTACCCAAAAGGCTACCCTGAAAAAACCACAAGCAACACATTGGGGGGACTTGTCTAGCATTCTGCTTTAAAGGGAACCATGCCATTTTGGGGCTCTTGACGTGCAACATCTTGCACCACTTGGGACTGGCGATTTGTCAACCAGTCAAATCGGGTGTCATCGCCGGGAATGTGCTCAGTGCTGTTCTTTGAAAGGCCTCTGGGAACCAACCATGTAGTTTTCAGGTTCCTCTTGGGAGTAAAGGGATCTGGGTACAGAAGTTCTTTCCCCCCCAATTTTCCTTTGCGCTTCATCTTCCCCACCTTGCGCCCTCCTTCCTTCCCACCCAACCTCGCCTTTCAGTAGCCTCACTGAGGTAAAATATTGGCCAACCAAAGCAAAATCGTCGAATCGTGGTCTTTCTCACCACGGTCTTCCAAAAAAAACACGTACAAAAAAGCACGGGGCGCTTCCGGGCCCCACTTCCACTGCCCCTGTTTTGGGGACGTGTTGGCCATGCTCAGTGGATTCCACCTACAAAACACTCTTTGTCTTCGGTCGCTATCGACCAGAACTTTGGTTTTTGGGGCCTTCGCCTTCTCTCCCCCTGCCCCCAATAAATCGCGTGGAACAGACACTGCGCGCTATCGCTAAGGCAAACAAAAACAGGGCGACTTCTTGCTTGGAGACTTTCAGATCCCCTAAAGATTTGACTTTTAGTGGGTTAAATGGAAACCACCACCAAACACTAAAAGGATCTAAAAGGCTAAGTTGAACCGGATGGCCGGTTCCGAGCCAAGTTTTGCTCGGTACGTCCTAGGCGCTTCTCGGCGGCCAGCCAGCCGGTGGTCGGCAGCGCCCAGCAGGTGAGTTCCTGCTGATCCCTGTCCGATGCCTCCCGGGCGTCGAACCACCAGGCGAACCAAAGGCAAAATGCGTAGAGCTCCGTGCTCACCTCGCGATGGCAAGGGCGAGGTCCCTGACTTTTTGGGGCGGAGACGGGAGGCTCTGGAAAAATGATTCCCCCCCCCTTCTGTGGAACTCCAAACTTTGAAAGAAAAGTTGCAGGGCAGCTTTGTGCACAAAGAGTTTTGCCCATTGTATGATTAGTGTCTACTTACATTGTATACATATGTGTATATATATATATATATATCATATATTTGTAAACCTCAGTTGTTGCTCACTTGCGTACATTTTACATTAATATGTATGTATATGTATGTATATATCTAAAATAAGTACAGTCTGTCTTACCAGTACAGTCTACCTTATATTCAGCGCAGGTATCCCTCCTCTTGCGGCTTGTTACCTTGGAATACCTTGGGAACATGTCAACGCTTGTGAAGCCTCCGGCATGCACTGGCCGTGGTTGGCACACCGAGTGAACCCCCGTGTGTGATGATGCCAGACCCCCAGAACTCTTGGTGCAAGTCCCTGAAAGTCCCAACTCGGGAAAGCCTCTTTCTGACAAGCCAACTTCATCTGTGTTCTTTGCTCGAGCGTAACACCAAAATACTACACGAGACAGGAACATAGGCTCGGCTATGTGGTGGGGTGGTCGGGTGGCCAGCACGTCGTAAGCCCGTCCAGCCGGTCCGCTCACATGCAAGCAACAAAAAACACCTCACGACTTTGCATACGGCTTGCATGCAAGATGCCCACAGGGTGAAGGTGTGCTCAGGATAATATACCTCACGTGTCCAGAGCGCCTGGACAATCACGTCTTATGACTTTTGGACCAGAAAAGCAACACGAGTTGATCTTTTGGGGCCAAGACTTTGAGTCTTAAGAAGGTCGTGGACATAGTGAGGCGAGCAAAAACACATCACGTCTTTTTGTAAAGCAAAAAACCCAAATGGACCAATAAAACAACCACAAACAACAAAAGGCGCAAAGGTCGATTCCCAAGATATTAGTGGACCAAAAGCTTAGTGGACATATTGGGCCAAAAACAAAATAAACGAGGAAAAAAGCAAAAGGCTGTTAAAACAAAAAAACTCCGCTTCCGCGAGAGATACCGTTTGCATCACAGCGGGCACCACCAGCGCTATGGTGAGAGCCGTGGGAATGAGCCAGACTTGCTGGATGCCGAAGCCTTCCGCCGTGGGCCGCGGCGTGAGGCGAGTGTCCCGTCTTGCTTGGTTTGGCCGGGGAGCCCTCCAAACTTCTAGGGGTACCTTCCAATTCCATTCTTTCCAATCCGAATCTTTTCAGGAAACATTTGGTTTTTTAAGGAAACTTTATTGTTGCCGAAATTCTAGGGGGTACCTTCCGATTCCATTCTTTCCAATCCGAATCTTTTCCGATTCCATTCTTTCCAATCCGAATCTTTTCAGGAAACATTTGGTTTTTTAAGGAAACTTTATTGTTGCCGAAATTCTAGGGGTACCTTCCGATTCCATTCTTTCCAATCCGAATCTTTTCAGGAAACATTTGGTTTTTTAAGGAAACTTTATTGTTGCCGAAATTCTAGGGGGTACCTTCCGATTCCATTCTTTCCAATCCGAATCTTTTCAGGAAACATTTGGTTTTTTAAGGAAACTTTATTGTTGCCGAAATTCTAGGGGGTACCTTCCGATTCCATTCTTTCCAATCCGAATCTTTTCAGGAAACATTTGGTTTTTTAAGGAAACTTTATTGTTGCCGAAATTCTAGGGGGTACCTTCCGATTCCATTCTTTCCAATCCGAATCTTTTCAGGAAACATTTGGTTTTTTAAGGAAACTTTATTTTTGCCGAAATTCTAGGGGGTACCTTCCGATTCCATTCTTTCCAATCCGAATCTTTTCAGGAAACATTTGGTTTTTTAAGGAAACTTTATTTTTGCCGAAATTCTAGGGGGTACCTTCCGATTCCATTCTTTCCAATCCGAATCTTTTCAGGAAACATTTGGTTTTTTAAGGAAACTTTATTTTTGCCGAAATTCTAGGGGGTACCTTCCGATTCCATTCTTTCCAATCCGAATCTTTTCAGGAAACATTTGGTTTTTTAAGGAAACTTTATTTTTGCCGAAATTCTAGGGGGTACCTTCCGATTCCATTCTTTCCAATCCGAATCTTTTCAGGTTGAAACCATCAAAAACCCAAGGAAACAGATCCGGTTTTTGAAAAGAACGATGGTTGAAAAAGAATGGATTCGGAATCAACCCCTAGAAAAATGCTGGTTGTCCTTGTTGGTTTCTAGCCCAAAAAGGGAAAACCCTCAGAAAAAGACAGCCCCATTTGGCTCCCACAAACATGTCTTTCATGGGTGAACTCATTGAACACCCGGCAAGGGTCGCAAAAGTGTCATGCAATCATGTAAATATAAAAAGGTCGGTGGCTGGCAACGTATGCCCCTTCTGAGACCCTGGTGACAACTTTCTCCCCACCTTCCAACCACCTTGGAAGGCGATTGGGGCCAAAAGTACTACTTGTCCACCTTTTAGGTGGGGTCGTAAGCCTGGTGCGCCCCCCTTTTCATTGCTCAAAGGCAAGCCAAACGGATCCCAACTATGGTGGAACACAGGGCAGTCCGCATGCCGAAACAATAGCCCCTTTGGACAGTTGAGTTTCAAGAGACCACGAACCCAAAGGGCTTCAACCTTTAAAAAGACAATCCCAAAGGTTCACACCTCGTTACACTTCAGCCGTAAACGATGGCGCTTCTCGCTTTGCAAAACCTCAATTTGCATGATCGCCCCCCTGGAAAAAATGAGAACATATTTGCAGTAGTGATGGATTCCCTTCCAAACCAACACATGTATAGACAAAAAGAGTCCTTTTAGCTTAAATGGAAGAATGCCAACATGGCTGTGGGTCAAAACCCTGTACCTCCAGTAAACATTCCAATCCAACCACTCAAATAGACTAAAATGGGTGGTGCACCTACGATCTCAAGCCATATAGACCAAAGAGTCCTTTCAGCTTAAATGGAAGAATACAAACCTCGGATGCATCCCCAAAATGGTACCATTGGTTTTGACCCATGGCCACATCGGATGCATCGAGACTCGTTGGGTGGTGATGTCAAAGACTTCCGCCAGCAGCAGCACCACGATGATACTCCGCATGGCGGAGTTCACGTGCCGGCCCAGCCCGTCCTAGCCGACGGAGAAAAAGTGAAGCTTGGGGAGCGAAAATTTCACACCGGATCTTGGTTGCTGTTGACCCCTCTGCAACAAGTTTGAATTACTTTCCAAGAAGTACAAGTCTACAGATCCAAGGGTACCACTCATAGAAGAACCCAAAACATGTTTTTTGGGGGGGGGGGCATCAGGGATGATTGGGCGTCATCTATCTTATCACGAGCAGCTCAAACATCTAGATGAGAGCAACCTGGGTGCCAGTTTTTCCGGCCCGCTTGGCATGGGTATCCCGGCAAAACCTAGCTCCACCCCAGGGAATCGAGGGACTCCTTCACCATGCGGCCATTGCGGATCCGCCGCAGCCGGCGATACTCCATGGCGCAGAAGGCCGACAGGACCCCGTCGATGTCGTCGAAGGCCGCGCTGATGGAAGCAGAGTCATCAGAGCCGACCCCGTCGTCTGAGGAGGCGCTATCTGAGCTGACGATCTCGGGGTCGCTCAGCGCCGGCTTGGTATCCATTGGGCCCGGAAGCTTAATTTGAGCGAAAGCTGAGAAAGCTTCAAGCTGACAACGCTGCAAAGGTCTTGATTCTCTGCATGCAACAGCAACACTGCAGCCCAACGCATTGGGCATCTTCTGCAATTGGGGACCCGTGCAGCCTGGTGTATGCCAGTTCCCCCACTATTCCTAGGCAACCAGCAGATGCCCTTGGCTACCGACAACCACAGGGAAATGGAATCGCTCAAGGCGAGCCACGCTTGGCCGCTTGGCCTCTTCCTCTTCGGCCGGCGGCATCTCCTCATCCTCAGGCTCCTCAAAAAAAACACGTGGGGTCCCTTGATTTAACCAGCTGCTGTGGGTCTGTTGTTGGAGTTGGTACTTGGTACCCCCTTCTGTTGTTGTTTAGGGACACCAAAGGGAAACCACCAATTTAGGGACTCTTCTGAGAAAAGACACACCCATCTAACAACCCATAAGACATGACAAGTGCCAGGCGCTGTTCCTCTCGTTTGCGTCGTTTCCTGACTCGCGGTTGTTTCCTGACTCACAAAACCTTGTGCGCCCGACTCCCAGTGTTTGCGTAGCACCCCGGCACGCTGTTCTGGTCGTTTCCACTCAGAGTTCCAGGACATCAAAACTCAGAGTCCCAGGACATCAAACCATGGTTGCTTGGATACCTCAAACCTGGCCAGACTCTTTCCTGTGAAATGACTGCCCAAAGCGCCAATGACTTGCGGCAATAACCCTGGGATAGGGCGCTTGCCAAGCATCGAATCCTGACTCCCCGAGCCCCCTACTTGTTTCCAATGGTTTTTCGCTGGGATCTCCTAATTCTTCAACTGGCATATCACAAACTTCCTGGTAGCTCCCAAAAAAACGTTCAATGCCCCCAGCACGTTGGTTCCTTTCCAAACAGCAGCTAGCCTGCTTCACTTAGCGTTGTATTGCCAAAATGGCTGGCAAGCACCAGGATGTCCTGCGCGACCGCGGCAGCCGGCTTCTTCATCACGGGGCTTTCAGCATCCTCCTGCGCATTTGGGTCGTGGCACAAGGAATGCATAAATCTGGCTTGTTTCTCCTTTGGTCTCTCTTCCCAACAACCTCCAAAAGGAGATAGCCTCAAACGACTGATGAAATTCGTTCAAAGGACACTTTGCTGTCCCCACAACGTGACTTTCAACTAGCCCAAGCAACATGGAGTTGGTAGTTCAGACTCATATATGCCTCAGCGTTTTGCTTTGTACTGTTGGAACCGCCTGCCAGCTTTTTCTGTGGTTCCCTTCGCTGCGTTTGTTGGCAGAGGTGAACAGTGGGCAGTGCGCTTCAACAACCCCTAATTGTAAGAGACCCTCCTAGTGGTGGGAACATGTTGGCAGTGGTTCGCAGCAGTTCCCGTTTCCAAGTCGGGCGGGATAGGGAGAAAGATATCCAGGATGCCAATTTTAGTCAAGCATCTTCAAAAATCAGACACTGTCTATAATATACCCATACCTTGGAGATGTTCAAATGGCAAACGTGCTTCTGTTGCTCACACGCATGCTGATACTCATGTTCTGGAACGCGCAAATAGCCCACTACTTGGGGCCAGCGGGAAAACATATTGGCTTAGTATGGATTCAGTATTGGCCTAACTCTAGCTGTGTATTGGGGGCATGCAGGTTTGTGAAAATGTGGCGTGCAGCCGTTTGTTTTGGATTGTCTCATGCGACTTAACCAGCATCAGCTCAGCATGCGAATGATCCACCTTTTCTGCGTCATCTGTGGCATCTTCAGGCAACATCAGTTTCAAGTCGCAATGTGTCATGTTCCATCTGCAAGCCGCGCAAGTCAGTGTCCCCTCTGCCCGTGTTATGTCACATCTACAAGGCCAAAGAACATGCCTCCGGCTTATTAAACTCTACGCAGTTTCCATTTCCAATGCATGTGACGAACCACTTTGGAAAGGACATCTTAATCAATTTGAAATCGCAAATATCAGTTCAGATTAAACTCCTTTCTCATTCAATTGTGCTTCCATTATGAGAGAGTTAAAGTCATATTTGGAAAGGCATGCCTTTTTGACCCCTTGTTCGAAACAGAAGGGTTACCTCATGTGTTTTTCTTATTGCCTGGCCAAGTTCTAATTCGTCTTAATGAAGATCCTATTTGGCATACGCAGCCTTATAAGGAGGAGGCTTGAGAGGAGCTTTATATTCACCTGCAGGTTATTAGGTCATAAGAAATTCCCTTTAGATTCTGATTCTGAATTGAAGTTCTGTATAGTTGGTTGTTTGAAAACAACATGTCCACAATATGTGTGTAATCCACATGCTGTTTGGTATCAGGAGCCTTGACAGGATCTTCTAAGAAGCTTTCTTGAGGAGCTTCATAAGGTTCCATAAGGACTTTGCAAGGTTTAAAAGGATTTGCACAAGGACACGGAGCCTTCGAAAGCAGCTGTATTAGGATGCAAAAAACAGCAATATTGGAGTAAACACCGTAAAACAGTAAAACTCTGGAGCCAATGACCCAAAAGGAAACAAGTAAACAAATAACACTATGGAGCCAATGACCCAAAAAGTAAAATAGTAAAGTAAAATGCTGGAGCCAAAAAAAGTGACAAATCAGTAATTAAGAAAAATGCAAAACAAGAAACATATTTAAACCCATCATCCTAACTTAATATTGATACATGCATGCAAAAGTCGGTAAACAAATGTAGATATTTTACCTGAACTCATGGCTCAGGGTCGGCCATAGTGTGAGGAGCGCGAGCGTGTAACCAACGCTCCCGAAAAAACGGACAGAATCGGGTTTCAAGATGCGGGAACACCAGTTCAGGTTGTCCGTTTGGTCGTGAACAACACAAAGCTAATTGGGGCGTACTCCCCTGTAATTCAACATGGACGGCCAAAAGAGGTCCCCCTAAGAAGTCTCCTTTTCAACCAGGCGTTCTTTGGGTTTCGGCCGTTCTGCAGGAGTATCCTAAGAAGGACAACCCGGCCATCCTGCCGCGCTGTGCTTCCGCCAGCGGAAACCGAACAGCGGGTCCTCCACGATGGGATCGGCCGCTTTGGCCTTGGCCTTGGCCTTTCCCTTCCCCTTCGCCTTCGCCTTTGCCTTCCCTCGAGCGGAAAGCGGCATGCGCACGGCAGTGACCTAAGTTACCCCACGTGAGCGTGCCGTTTTTGGAGGCTGGTTTTAAAGGAGGACACCAACGGGAAGACTCCATTGCGGTCCCCAAATGCAGCATTGCAAACACAAATCCTGCCTGAGACCTGAGGTTTCAGTGCCTGCTTTTCGGAGGCCGTTGTCCATTCTAAGGCTCCCAACCTTCCACGGCTACAGGTGGAGAGAAATCATTCATGGGGGCTGGGGGGGGAGAGGGGGGAGGGAGCCCCAATAAGCCCTGAATAAGGCCTTATTGAGGGCTTAATTAGGGCTTATTTGGGCTCCCTACCGCTCCCCCCTCAGCCCCCATGAATAATGCTCAAAGCACACCAGTGCATTCCAGCTAGCGGGAGTTGCGCTCAGTTGCCCCGGACCAAGGCAAAGATTCACCTGTTGAAACCAAAAGGTTGAAACGTCGATTCGCTTTGTGCAAGCGAGGCTGTGAATTACCCGAGTGAAGTGCAAGCACGAAATACCGCGGCATGCAAGTAGCTCGCAATGCTCAGGGAGTCCGAGGCTTAACCCATGCCACGCTGATATCACCCCAAATCTCAGAAAGTACACAAAAGATGGCGCTCAATGCCGAGGCAGAATCAGACCAGTCCTGACAGGGATAAATATGTGCTTCATTAATTGTGCCAATCCGGAATCTCCGTTTCCCCAAACAAACAGTTCGTGAAGCGCTTTAAGCTCCAATAATCCAAACGATCGCAGACCTGCAACCAGTGTTCAAAATCATGGAACTCGCTCCAACATACATGCAAAGCATGAGGCTCACATCAAAACTCACAGCATCAAGCAGAACAAATCAGAGAACACATGCAAAGTCGAGAAACATTTAGTGTCCCGACCACTGTGCTTCCAGTTTCCCCCCCAGCGGTCGCCTGCTGGCTTCGTCTTATTCTGGCGCGGAAAAAATACGCCACTTCCATGATTCCCCCCGTGTCAAGCCGCTTGCAGAAAGCAACACCGGGGGCGTTGCAATCTCTCGTTGCATGGGCGAAGTCTTGCCAAACCAGACATGGACGAAACTCGGTGGATTTGCCAATCCATGGGCTCAGAAACTCACAGTGGATTGGCCCGGAAAAACAGCGAAACCTACGAACTCTCAAGACCAACTCAAGTAGACTCGGCCGAAGTTCGGCGAGAGGAAGGGTTTAGATCCGATTCGCCAAGGTGGGTTTCCTTTGGGTTTCTCGGTGCCCAAAAAGGCTCCACAAAATCATGAAGCATGCGGTCGACATGTCTGTTCCCAAAGAAGGTCTGGTTCTTTCTTTGGGAGTACCCCTTTTTGATGCCTTCAAAGGAACACCAAAGGAACTCCACATTTTTTGTTGGGTCCCGACAAATGCAGCCAAAAGGTGCCTTCATGCTTCGTTCCAAGGGTACAGTAATACACATGTAAGCTTGGCTGTTGGCCTGAGACACACGCGTACCCGGCCTCGGCATCCTGGGCCAGGTGGGGCACACAAGTAAGTTGTGGTCTATGCCATAAGGACGGACACATCTCATCGAGAAATCTGCATCTTCACATGGAAGCTCATCAGCCACCCATAATTATCTTCTTCAAATCTCTCGAAAGGCGGCATATTCCACCTGACGCACCTGAACAGTTGTTGCCTCACAGTAAAGGTAACTGTCAATCCCCACTGGCTGCAAACTTGTGATATGTAGACCTCCACTCAGGCTTCCGCCGAAATGAGCACAGGCCACCCACCAAAGCCACAAGCGGCACGTGCTCTCGAAAGGCACGTCACACACACACACACTGAACAAGCTAGATGAAAACTAGTCGCAAGCTGGCCGCAGCGACAGTATCGAGCACTACTAGGTCCTCCAGTAGAGAACACTCGATTTTGTTGCTGTCTATTTTAGTAGGGGAACCCTGCCCCAAAAAAGAAACGGTAAAAGGGCACTACTGGGAGACCTTGACTAAGAGGTTGTAACTTTTTCCATTGTGAAGTCCTACAACCTCAAATGCGGAGTCCTTGTTCTGTCTGAAATTGAAACATCCTGTAAGCAGCACAATATATGAGGGAGAATTCCACAACGCATCATGGTCAAAGAGTTTGTTCTTCAAACAGCATCCACCCAGAACATGGATTCCAAATACAAGTCAACGAAACATATGGCCGTGGGTCAGCACCAATGGTACCATTTTGGGGTAGGTGCACCACCCATTTTAGTCTGTTTTAGTGGTTGGATTGGGATGTTCACTGGGGTTGCGGGGTTTTGACCCATAGCCATATGGGTTGACCCCCCACATTTGGCTCGACAAAAAACAAGGAAACGAAGAACATGGGTTGCGTACCCACAGCTGCGTCGGATGCTGTGCGCCCGGCTCCCATCTCAACATCCTGCCAAGAAGCTCCGTCGACTTCTCTCCGTCTGTTCAAATCGGAGTCGTGTTAATCACTGTGAGCCATCACCAAAACATGTACCTGGAGTCTCCATGACCCTTACACAATTGGGTCATTGCCCAAAATAATGGGGTCAATGACCCATTTTTAAAGGGTCATGGAGACTCTAGGTAGGCCTCATGAGCTTTCTCATGGCGTCCAGGTGCTTGAAGAGCAAATGCACTGGAGTAACATGATTGTGGTTACCTACATGTACCTATAGAGTCTCCTTCTGACCGAATCAAAAATAGGTCAACGACACCATTCTTTTGGGTGACCAACCATTTTTTAAGGGTCGTGGAGAATTCAGGTAGGCCTTATGACCTTGCGTGGCGTCCAGGTGCTTGAAGAGCGAATGCAGCTATGGAGTAAGCTGATGGTGGTCGTTTAGCCCACCTTTGAAAGCCTGAAGTCCAAAAACGCCAGAAAACCAAGCAGGCCAGGGCTGTGGGAACTGGAATCCACTTCTGTGATACAACAATAAGGGCTTCCCAAAGACTAACCCACCACACGGGGGAGATTCCCAAAAGTATCGCAGTCGGGTAAAACCCCTTGATCCCACAACCCTGCAGGCTAAAAGGAACCCAAGCCCGGTCTTCCGTTGTGGGCTGTGGCCTCTTTCGATCCGGGCGCACCTCTGCGCCGGCAGGCTTCTTGAGAGGTCCCTGGCGGTGAGACCAGGACGCGATCAGCAAATTGCAGGGCTCACTGGATTCCTTGAACAGTGGGAATTTTATTGATGGTTTTCCTTGCAACTGAAGGAAATGAACCAGGATTTCCAGAAACCAAAGTCTGATACTGGAGTTATGCTGCGATTTCAACGCACCGCCCAAGCGATTTGAGAATGGAGATGAAGAGAGCCAGCGTTGGGTGTCCTGCCTTCTGCTAACAACTTTGAACATCCATCAAGCCCACTTGTAAAGTCATCTCAAGACACTTCGCCGAAGGGCGGAGATCTTCAAAGGGCAGGACAGTACTTCAGAGAACGTGCTGTACTTCTGTTCTTGACTCGTTGCATCCGTGGAAGCCACTTCTACAACACTTGCCAAAAGATGACGGCAACGCGGTCTACATACCCCATGGTGTCTTTGGCACATTGGTCTCCAATCAAAACCCCGTTACAACCTCAAGCTCCGAATCCTTCCACGGAAACACTTCGGTGGATCTGCGAAACCGGACCCTGCCAAACGCTTGGCTCACCGGAGTGGATTCTCGGATTGGCCAAAACAAATCTACCTGGAGTCTCCTTCTGACCCTTACAAAATGGTTGGTCATTGCCCAAAATAATGGCCATGTTTGATTCGGGTCATGGAGACTCTAGGTAAACTTTTTGCTTGCCACTAAAATTGTCCAAATTCACAAAGTGACTAAAGTCCAGGCACTCAGGAAGTAAGTTGGCTTCATGCTGATGTCCAAATTCCAAAGGCCGAAAGTGGACAATCTACCTGAGAACTGGCTCCCGGGCCCCAACCGATGCCGAGTCGCCTTCGAGGGATTCTCCTTGTTCAACGCCTCCGAAAAACGGAGGATTGCAACGAAAGCAAAGAAATATTCGGTGAACAATGCTCAGTTTGCAGCCATGGCAAATAAGATCTGTTGCATTTTGTGATAGTTTTCAATGGTTGACGTCAAAGCGACTTGAACATATGTTCTACCGCCATCAGTTGTGTCAATCAAACAAAGGCGGACCATGTGTCCAACAAGTGTATCATATTGCCAAGTAGTCCTAGTCCAAGCTTCTAAATCGGTTCATGAACAACCTCCCCCCATTTTGCGGTTAGCTTAAACATCTGCGAGTGTTCCTCCCAGGCGGGCTTGGCTTGACACGTCAAACTTGAATCAGGATCGGTGCAAATTGTTCAAAGGCCCCCTTTCGAAACCGCACGCGTCACGCGGCCCCAGTTCAAAACATATCATAACGAAGAATCAAACCAGCAACCTAAAGATATGATCAAACAAGCAAGCTAAAGATATGATCCATACGTTTTTGGTGGGGAGTTTGGTGGACAACTGCAACATGCTTTGCAGCGGCTATCGCTTTCTTTGTAATGGTCCCCTCCAAAATGGATGGTGCCGATGCTGTCGCAGAAAAAAAAACACACGCCGGAATAGTGGCTTGCCTGGCATCCACTGGGGAGCCTTTCTGAGAACGGTTTCCCGAAATCTCCCGAATCGCTGACCTCAACAGGCTGCAGATGTTATCCTCCTCGCCGATTGGCCAGAATCTGCCAGTTTGCCAGGTGGATTGGCTGGTTGGTTGCCCTTTTCCCATTTGCCGAAGGAAATTCGCCTTTTGTGACCATGACGAAAAATGAACCAAAGCAGGAAAACCACAAGTTCTCAGATCCGTCGACTCGCTTCGGGCAGAGCAAAATCTGCCAAGCGCTAGATTGGTTGGTTGTCCTTGCGGTGGGTTGGTCCTCTCCAGGGCTCCGACCACCAGTACGGACCTCACCTCCTGTTCGGTCATATGCTCCAGATCCCCGTCACTGTACCTCGCCAAGGTACTGACTTTCACTGATCCGTTGGCTTCTCAACACAACTCCATGGCCATACATTCAAGTTGCGACCCTCTGGTGACCTCTTTCTGAGGAGTTGCGTCCACCAAGGAAGCCCTCCACAAACACTCATTTCGATCTGTGCCCGCGTTTCCTTGGAAGGCCATGCAAAGTGGAAAATGTTCGAGGCCCAAAGGATCAATACAAGTACACCAAAGCAGCACAGCCCACACCAAAATGACTCCCGAAACAAAAGCTTCACAACACATGTGGTGTCGTTTCAAAAGGCTGTGTTCCTGTTTTACTTCGGATCTTAACGAGTACCTGACTACTGGGCAGAAAATGATCTAGTACAGGGTGAGTTCCTCTGTCTGGCTAGTAGGCCTTTGTCACCGTTTGTGCATACAACTAAAACTTTGGGGAAGTTTGGCAAGCCATCACATCGTCAAACAAAATCAGAGGGCAAATTCAGTAGAAGACATTATAAAATCACGTTGGATGAGGAACATCCAACTTATAATGATTGTCTAAGCCCCCCGGCTAGAGTTGGAGCGGCTGCCTAGTCTATCAAACTTTACAAGACAGGCAAAGTCACAGAATCCCTGCTTAAAAATGTCAAGAACAGTGGCAACATCTTCTTGGCAACCCCTCTGCCTGACCCGAGAAAAAAAAGAGCTTCTGAGCCGAATATATACCAGCTGACGGAGTCAGCTGATGCGGTCATCCTTTGGCTTCTGGGCGTTGGTTATTTTGTTCCGCGGTCAGTCTGTTCTCACCAATGACTTTGCAACTCAAAAGATCTACCTGGAGTCTCCATGACCCTTTAAAAATGGGTCATTGCCCAAACAAATGGGGTCAATGACCCATTTTTAAAGGGTCATGGAGACTCTAGGTACACATGGCTTCACCATCGTAACACACAGTAGTTGCAGCGCTTGCAACGTATTTGGGGTCATGCTCAACCATGCAATCAATCGCTCGACTTGTGCATTTCCAAGGGTTAAGTTACAGGAATTTATACACGAAAACAGCTTTTTTAGGGTGTTCGGGGCGTGTCCTGTAGATGTTCCTGTAAGTTACACCTTTGAGCATTGTTCGTCCTCAGCAAAACCAAGCCACAAGCAATGTGACTTGGTCTTTCTCTGCCTTTGCTTGTCTGGCTAATGCTGGAAATATTCCGGGGTTGAACGAACTGCATGGACGAGATTTCAAAGCCTTCTGCCCTGGAGTTGGTTGGTATCCATGTTTCCTCCTTATCGTTTTACAATGTCTTGGAGTTAGGAGTGGTTTCGTGTGACTTAAGTTGTGGACTGGGCCACCTTCTGGACTAACCAAGCGTGCGCCACCGAACTGGACGCCATTGCAGTCTACATTGCTTCCCCTGGAACAAAAAAGTAAAAATATTTCCACTAGTGCTAGATTCCCTCTGAAACCAACAGGGCAAAAATGGAAGTACCCGCCTCTGCTCGCCCGCCCAATCGTTCGCCTAAATGCCCAACCGCCCAAGCGCCGCCTGACCCGGTAGAGGCGCTCCCTCGAGATCTGCCCAACCTCGATGTCCTCCACCACGCCTTTGCAGACCTCTCGTCTTTTCGCTGCATTTTGTTGGGCGGGCTTCTCGGATCAGGAACACAGAGAAAGAAGACGGCTTCGCATATTGTCTTCTTTCTTTTTTTTAAAGAGAAGCTCAATGTATCTTGTGACTCACCATCAGACTCAGTGTCACTTTCATGTTCTTTTCCATGTGATTGTGATTGTCATGACTAATCATGTGTTCAGCATTTTCGACACAAATTCCATCCATTGGAACCCTTTCCTCCGTCTCCATTTAGACCTCGAAACTAGGAATTGATCGCACTGGATGTGCTTGCATGGTCCGGAACCCACTTTGCGCTTGCGAGCGAAACGGCGGAGAATCGCAAATCTCGTCCGGGTGGACTGGCTGGCCCGACATGTCTCCCACTCAGGGAGCAAAGAATCGTGTTTGGTTCTGCATGCTAGCACATGATTCGTGGATTTGCAATAGTTTGGCTCTCAGGCAAGAACCTAATTGTGTATATGAGCGTCTGGTTCTTTGCGGGTCCCTTGTTAGGGTTTTGGGAGGCCAAAAGGAAAACCACCAATTTGGCGGCTCCAGAAGCCAAAAACAACATGCACACACACACACACTCATCATATCTGTCTCGAAAAACCCGTGCATAGCTCCTGCACGTAAACAAACATCTCGCCCTGGAAGGAATCCTGGAACTTGGAATGCTCGCATTGGCTCCACTGATCTCCACTGACCCAGAAGGTTGACCCAATATTAACCCCTGCTTCTTCATAGGGGGTGATTCTCCTCCCAAAAGTGATTCCCCACTAAACCCACGGGCACCCATCTATGGGGTCAACATTTCCAATGAGCCGGCCTAAGGCCTGAAACCTCCGATGCTGTCAAATGACAAGCACCCTTGGAATATGAAGCTCTGCAATCGGATCCTGCGACCAAACAGCTCCCGGAGCTGGGACACTCAGCCCACCTTTTAAGCTTTTGGAGGACAACAACAACCAAGTGTCCAAGTTCTTTCACCTTTTTTCAGGACTCGATTAAACAATTTTCGACCTCACAACACAAAAGCACGTGTCCTGAAGTCCGAAGCCGACATCGCAAACGCCGAAACGGAACCACAACACCTCCCTTTGGAACACCTCCCCACTTCGCACCCATGGAACCTGAATCCGGAGGCTTCAATCCAACGTCTCGGCCCCACCTCCCCGCCCACGGTCTTGTGGATCTCAGCGAAGCGGAGCTCGTCGCTCTCCTCGGAAGCCACGGCCACTACACTTTGAGCCTGTTGGCGTCCAAAGGGACCCCTTTTGGCGTCCCTTTGAACCTTTGAACCTTTGAACCTTTTGGACCTTTTGGACCCGGAAATCTTTCAGATCTTGCAAAGCTTCCTCTTTCGCGCCGCAAAAAAGCTGCACCACAAAACTTCCGGCGCGCCTTCTCCTCGTCTGGCAGCTCCTCGATTTCCTCCTCAACATCCTCAGCGAGTCGGAAAAAAATAGGCTGCACTGAACTGGGCTGTCCTCAGATGCCCTGCAAAAAGTTTAACTCTCAGTATAATAGAAACCCCCACTAAACCCTAAATGTCTAAAAGCTAAGGAACCAGGCTGGCTGGGAACCTTCTCTGGATTGGGAGCCTTTCAATGGAACCTTGCCATGCTTGCGCCCCTTCAAAACCCAGAGGGGTATACAGTAACCCCCCCACACACACACCCGTGGTGGGTCGAAGAGTTTCGAAGAGTTCCGTCGGACCAACCATGGTGCCTTGAATATAAAATTTGCCTGTCGACAAAGGCAACTTGATCACCGCAAGGGGCTTGACAAGTTTAGAACACACTATGTTTCAGGGCATACTCGGTCAAATAAAGTGACGTCCTGAAAAAGTATCCTCAAATCGGTGGTTTAAAGGGAAATGTGGCCAAGTAAGTTTACGACTGCCAAAATGTAAGAGACCCAGGTATAGCGACAGCTTGCCAGTCCCGCGTTTCAGGATGGATTCCCACGGCCCTCGCTTTGTCCTCCAAAACGATCCCGATGTCAAGAATCAGCACATGCCGTGGATTGCGAAATCCTCTTCGGCACCGTTCAGAAAAAACGGAATGATGTTCGATTCCCCAACATAAATGCCAATAAACGTTGTGGTTTCAACCATATGGTAACTCACTTTGTGGTGCGAACGGATTTCGCAACCATGCACAGTAGTTTCCATTGTGCAGGAAATCGCGGGGTTTTACCCGACGCACATTTTCTGAACCCATCCGCAAGCTAGGGACCCCACCTCAGTCGCCTCGGGAACGAGTCCACGTGCCGGATGAACAACGGAATGGCCGAAAACAGTAAACTCCCTAGGCTTCCTCGGACGTTTTGTAAATGTGCTCTGGGCAAAGGACGTTTCTGGGAACTCGAGGGATGTCTTTGGGAAGGGCTCTTGGGTCTCTAATCTTGGGCGCGCCAGGTTCACCTGCTCATGACCTGCATGGCCCACATGTTGCAGCGGAAGTGGTTTCATCACTACTTCAAGCCAAGTTTCCAAGTTTCAAACAAAACGAGTGTATAAAAAAACGAGTGATTTGAGGTTCCACCGATGTCTACTTCAAAAAAAAGAGGGACGTAGACAAACCGTAGACAACCCGTAGACAACCCATAGAAAGGACGCTTTTTCCCGTAGAACGCACGTTGTTGTTGCTTTGCGTAGAACGCACGTTTTTTGGCGTAGAAAGGACATTTCCTGGTACCCCCGGGAGAGCAAAATTGACACGGGAATTATCGGGAATTGTTCCACGCAGCCCCGCACCGTGATTTCCAGCATCAGTGGCAACGAACATGATCTGCTTGCGATCTCATAACTTACTCATTCATGGTAGTCAGTCAGGAAAAGAAGTTGTGAAAAGCAATGCTCAGTATGCACATGCGGCCGAAAAGGGCTCCAAAAGGGGTAAAAGGGCATCTTCCCAAATATGTGCTTTGCAAACCCAAAAATGTGCTGTGGACCCCATAAATGTGCTTCATCGAAAAAGATGTGTGTTTGAAATGTGCTTTGGATTTTGAGGGAACTTGTTATTTGCCACCGAAATGGTCCAGACCCAAAACGTTTACAGCCCATGAACTCAGGGAGTAAGATGGGGCTTCGCAGTTCACATCCAAAAAACTGAGCTCTACCATCTTGCACCCAAGTATGGGGAGCACAAGAAACAGGGACAAAACGGGGGAGGGGGGGAACTAAAGAACTCAGGCTGTTTACCTTCAAGTCTGTGCCTGGAAGAACTAACCCCAGAATCTTGCACACTGCGCATCGGTCATGGTCCAAGGTGGCGACTGGAGGTGTCCCATGTTATAATCACTTGGTCCTCCAGTAGAGAGGGTAGAATAAGAGCACCCAATTTTTTCTGTAGTCTATTCTAGTAGGGGAACCCTCCCCCAAAAAGGGGTGAGAGGACTTAGATCATGAGAAGCAACAGCACACATCAATTCACAACCATCTGCACAGGCATTGGATGCTGAGCAGCGCAGACACAAACACAGGCAGAGGCAAAGACACAAACACTGCCCACAAACACCGACACAGAGACACGTACACATGCGCAGGCATACAACTGCGGTTGGGCGTTCAGCACTTTGAATCCAAAGGTCTCCATGCAGCTAACATGCGAGCTAGGTCTGCGTTGTGGAGTCGTAAGATGTCGTAAGTCTGGAGTCTAGATGAATGTTGCAACTCCGACGCCCGAATCAGATTGGCTGATAGCCAGCATGCTCTGCCCAACATCCAGCAAATTTTGGATTGGGACAGGCTAAAAGACTTCTGAGCAACTCATGGCATTCGCGCGGGTCACCAAAAAACTTCAGCCCCAACTGGAAGCCTCCTTGGCAGACAAGACGTGTTTCTGCTCGAAGGTGTGTTTGCACAAGTCCAATGTTAAAAGCTGCAAACCTTTAATGTTTTGCAGACCAACGCTTTTTCCAGGTCTCTGAGGCCGTCGCCATCCTTGTCCCGACAAAAAACCAAAAGCCTGCGCCCCCTTTGGGCCAAACAGCAAAGCCGCTCCAGCTCTTACACGCAAAGATCTCAGATCTCACCAACAAAACGCGGTCGCCCTTTGAGGAGCAAGCGCAAGCCCCAAGGCATCCGCAGCCTTCCCTTTATGTGTGCTGAAGGAACTGCCCTGAGGGAACTACGCTTGTCTTTTGTAAGCAAATGCACCAGGCCTCACATTGGCTCCGAGACATTGTCGGAGTATCAATGGGGCATCGTTTCGGGGCGTGTGTCGTGTGACGGAAAAACTTCCCAATTTCCAAGAAGCTAAATAAAAGCCAAGCTAACACACAAGAGCCTTCTCTGCCTGGGGGTAGTCATGGAAACAGCGGACTGAGCTACGCCAGTTTCAAGCGTTGCTGAAGGGTCGCGGCCTCGCGTGGCCCAAACATCGGTTTAGGTGGATTTGCTGGCTGGCTGCAACTTCCAGGTTGCAAGTCGCAACTTTCAGTACAAGCGCAGTACGCACATTTCACTTTGGCAGCTCCGGCTCGAAGGTCGCAGCTTTGCGCCGTAGACCGTAGCTGCCGGGACTGGTGAGCCGGTCACGCCGCTGAAGGCTCCGCGTTGTGCCCGGCATGACACTTGAGCGAAACTACCGAATGCATGAAGTTCAAAAACCATGCTCAGAGGGGTATCGTTTCTTTGTAAGTCCTCTATCCTTCTCCAAGGAAAATGCAAACAACCAGTCTCGAATGAAACACCTTTGCTAAAGTGGTCTATGATAATTCTAAAGTTGCCTCATATTTATATATATACTTAAATATCGTAAATATGTATTATAATAATATATATATATATGTATATATATATATACATATATGATAGGCTTTCATTTAGGGATTCGTCCGGATGACAACGAACTCCATGCTCTCGTGGAATCGCTCCCGTGTCAATGGCGACATGTTTGCCGATTGACACGGAACCCGAAAAAAAGAAAACCCTTATTTGTACCTTGACCGAATGGGCCAGCTCTTTGTCGCAGGAATGCTAAGCTTGAGCACACATGACTGAGCCCAACCGACCCTGCGGCTTAGCTGGCTCAATCCTTTGGGTGGGACCTCGAGATTCCGACGTTCCATCCGTCTTTCATTCCTTTCGACTGCTTTGCAACAACCAGTTGGCCAGTTGGCTGGAATTGGGTGTTACTCCCCCAAACTTAGCCAAGCAGCCACCTTTCCGACTCTTGGGCGTCATCCCGACTCATAAGCAAAGTGTTTGCTATGAGGTTCGCAAACCAATCTTCGCCTTTCCGGCCCTCCTGCGCTCTTTCCCTGCTAGTTCACGTATCAGGTGGTCATCCTCCAAAATGACATGACTGCAACAGGCGGGACGAGTCGTTTTGCCTCAGCTCTCGCCGGGCGGGTGAAACCGATTCGCTCCCGTGAGCTCCCGAGGCAGCTTCCGCATTTGAGTTTGAGCAAACACCACCGTCAAACTCATCTGAAGTGCAAAATGGTTCAAATGATTCTAGCGATGTGCTGTGTATCAGCATGAGCTCACACCAACCATGGCAATACTCGGGAGAAATGTATGGTTTCCGTTGTGCTTCGCATCTGCTTGGCCTACTCCAGGCCCTGTCTGGCGCGTTCACGGGCTTCCAAAGCTTGGAATTCCTCCTTGGACAACCTGCACCAGATCTCGGCTCTGTGTTAATTGCTGGTCTGGGGGCTGGGGACATTTTGCAAGTCGAGTGACTTGCCAAACTTGCCAAACACAAAACCTCATCTTCAATCTTCAATCTTTACTTTGCATCTGAAGTGGGCACGTACTGGTGGTACCAAATGTGAGTGTGTGTGAGCACACAACTATATCTGCACACCATGTTGCCTCATACGGATGCAGCTGTGCCAAGCACCATGTACGACGAACCCGTCCTTATCAGAATCTGGTTGCTCCAATTGGATGAAGGTATTGAAAGCAACCCAAGAATCTCACGGCTCGTGACTTGCAGTAGCGGGTGATCAAAGTGAGGTCTAGAGAAACATATCTGATGATTTCCCTTCGGGAGAGGAACCAAATGTGAGCCTCGCTTTTTGGCATCCAGAAAACTCTAGTTTCGACAAACTCAAACAAATGGCATACACTCAGAAATCCCCTTGAAGGGCAAATTGCCATATGCTCGAAGGTCAACAGCGCATGGCCTGTTGCAGGAATCTGTTGCGGCTACGAGTGGTTTGCGAGGGAACATGTCACAGTGCGGACAAGGGCAAAGGAAAACCCCATTCTGAGCTGTCCAATGGGCTGTGATGAACATCCGTTCGGAGCTGTGAATAAGAATGCATCGCATACCATACCATGGATGGCCAAGAAAGGATTGCCCGTGTAAGATGCAAGGCTCCTTTGGGGCAGCTCTCTTCACCCAGGTATGAGGAATGGCCAGTACAAATTGGCTACACATCCGGGCGAATCTCCGTTCTGCGGACTCTGTCTTTGAGTATACTCTGCTTTGAAAGTGGTAGTTCTAAAGGGAAAACACAAGGACAACCCGCCCCTCAAAGAAACACACACACACGTCAAATCCGTCCAATCTTGACATGTTCGACCCGAGTTCCAGAAAAAAAATGCAGGTGGAACTCCCATGATGAATTCTTCATGCCAAATTCTTCGACGCCTCGGTGGCAAAAACACACACACACACACAAACACACAAACACACAAACACACAAACACACAAACACACAAACACACAAACACACAAACACACAAACACACAAACACACAAACACACAAACACACAAACACACAAACACACAAACACACAAACACACACAAACACACAAACACACAAACACACAAACACACAAACACACAAACACACAAACACACAAACACACACACACACACACACGGCAGTTGCCGGCACTGAGCACTCCGGCAGCCCATCGCCGTCCGAGTCGGCAGCGCCGAACCTGGGGCAGGCAAGGCATAAGCCACTTCTGCTGTTCTGGTTGATACCTGGAGTCTCCATGACCCTTAAACAATGGGGTCACTGCCCAAAATAATGGGGTCAATGATACATTTTTAAAGGGTCATGGAGACTCCAGGTAAAACTGTTCCGTCTAAGTTAAGCAAGCGTCTACCTGGAGCCCTGAAAAAACATGGGGTCGCAATCCAAAACAATGGCAGCTAGAAAACCAAATTCGGCTGTGAATTGTTCCATCACGAACACCCGGGCCGCCTACAAGGGCCCAAATCACTTCTGACGCACACCGAACGCGGAAAGAGGCAGCGCCTCCTGCGAGAGGGCTGATGCTAAAAGGGGTGTCCAAGCTAGCCCTCCCCCGATGTTGAGATGGGTCGAACTTAAACCACGGGGCCGCAGGTCTTGGTCCATGTTTCCACTTACTAGGGATCCATTTGGGGTAGCTATTTTTTCCCACAGCCTTGAGTGCAAATGAACAACTGGTGACCCTTATGCTCATATTTACCAGCTGGAACAAAAGCAACTTGCTCCAAATTTGTCAATGCTGGTTCAGGCGAATTCGTTGTTCCGGATTTGCCAGGCGCCGAAGCACACCCCTTTAAAGGGTCATGGAGACTCCAGGAACATGGTTGTGAAGTTTGCCTTCGCTTTCGCTTTCGCAACGACAAGTTTGCATCCTGCGAGGTATGCGAGCATTGGCCAGCCTTTCACAAGTAGAAACATCAAGGCCTTTTGCGCGTTCGCAATCAAGGACAAGTCTACAATTTGAAGATACTTCTTTTTCACGACAACTTTCACGACGGTCTTAGAACGCAACAAACTTGTGTCAAATGGGGGGATTTTCCGCAAGTGGTTTCCCTTGCTGGTGCTCAGTAGGAAATGAGGGAAAGAACCTGGGGGTCCAGTTGGATGGTTCAGTTCGAGGGTAGTTCCATTTCTCATTCCCTACTCATCGCAGCGATCGCAAGTGCCTTTCGGCGTTCAAGAAATCCTAAAAACGATGCGCGCAACAGGCGCCGGTTCCTCAAGTCCGGATCGAGCCGACAGGTGGACTTAGCATCTTTGGGCGGAAAAAAGGAACGGGGATGGATTTCTTGACTTCCCAAAGATCAGGGGACCCACTCACGGGTCCCAGAAAAAGCCGGTCACTTGTACCAAAGGACGTCCTCAGGTGGGTGGCATCCGATTCCCGAACCCATTTTGTGGGTGGTGCCCTAAAACGGCATTTCTTCCCGGGGTCCCCAAAAACGGAATTTGTTTCGGGGGGGTCCCCTAAAAAGGCATGAGTTCCGAGAATCCCCTAAAATGCACCTGCCTATTTGTTAAAACCCGCTACGAATCGGTGGGTTTCCCGCTTTTTCTGCCAGGTGGCACGATGGAAGGCACCGGGTCCACTTGGCCCTCAATGATGCCCCCACGCAGCCTTGGCCATTTGGCCATCACGTGAGTCGTTTCGGGGCATCCTCCCCAAATGGCTCGGTTTCCCCTACCAAAAGGGGGGGGGCCGGAAGCGCTCAACAAAAACGCACAACAGATGTGGGCCAATCTGCGGCCCATGCTATCAGGGTTTTTTGGAATTCCTACGGTCCATGACCATCCTTGCTGCTGTAGAATGGCACTCTGGTCTGATGACTGTGTCTTGAAGGCTGATGTTCCCCATGTAGCCCCAGGCACGGAGCACTCAATCACATTTTCCCGTGTCCGTTTCCCAGATAGCTTTCAGCAAAGCCCTTGCCACTGCCTCCCAAGTGCTCCCCCATCCTTCTTCCAGTGAACAAATGTTACCCAAACAACCGTCCCCTTCACTAGGTCCTCCAGTGGAGAGGTTAGAATACGGGTACCCTTTTTTCCCCAACAGCTGAAAGCTTTGGGGTCTCAGCCCAGATAGGCTCCGGGGTGGTTTGGGGCGACTCTGAGGTAAGGTTCCACGAGGGTTCCACGGGTTCCACCAGGGTACCAGGGATCCACGAGGGTTCCACGAGGTTCTGCGAGGGCTGCGTGGTGGTGCGAGCACCAAAAGGAGCACCACATGCTGTTGGGGATATCACCTGAGCTTGTTCTTTAGTTTATTTTAGTGCGGGAACCCTTCCCCAAAAAGGGGTTAAAAAGGGCCCTACTGGGGGAACTAGTTGAGGTCTCCGCTCGGGAGCCGATTTGTTTGGCTCCATGTGTCAGGCCTTTGAGTCAAACATTGGAACTCAACTGCCATAAAGTCAGGCCGCAAGTCTCGAATGTTTGTGGAAACCAGAAAAAGACATGAGACAAAAACAACCATCGAAACAAGAACCACCTAATTAGACCCCCAGATCTGGAATGCTTGGCCTCTTGTTTTGGTTTCCCTTCATCCTTCAAAGAAAGCCACTGAACGCCCGGTTTCCGGGGGTTCCCCGGTTCCCCGGTTCCATCACGGCACGCGACGGACGGCAGGACGACGACTCGACGACTCGACTCTGGGCGTGCAGACCCGGCGATGCCTTTCTGGATGGCCTGGTTGATCTGGTCCTCGTTCAGCTCGCTCTTCTGGATGTTGCCGTCCGAGTTGGTATCCAGCTGTCGCACCTCAGACCAAACCGGCGATCGGCGATCGAGACCTGCGAGAGATGGGAATGAGAAGTGGCGGACACCCAGAAAAAAACAAAAAACAAAAAAAAAACACAACTGCCAGTAGGTGGCTTCCTTTAAGGGAATCCCGATGTGAGGGCCCGGACAATGTTGACCTGGGCTGATCCACACACCTACCCTGGAATTAAGCCCATTTGGGGTTGTTCCCACACCCCCGCGTTAAGTTAGCTGTACCCAAGCGCTGTCGTGGTGTTTGCTTCAACAAGAACTTTGCATCTTACAGAGAATTCTTTAGCAAGAGGCACGTCCCTTTATATGTCTTTGGCACAGGGTGATTTGACAATGCTACATGGTATCCCCCAACACCAACCCCTGGAAGCCTTCCTCCTTCTGTGCCCCATTGTTGGTCGATGCTCGGGGGTCCCCGAAAAAGACACATTGTCTTGACGGGGCCTTTTGGACCCTTTGGTGGACATCGGAACTCTTTGAGGGGAAACATGGCCACCCACCACGTGGTTCCAAGTCTTGACAGACAAACCCGTATTTGCAACCATTGTTCAAAGAAACGAACGGGTGCCCTATCTGTTGTTCAAACAATCCCCTTTCTGGTTCTTTTGAAGGGGTTGCAGCCGAGCCGCCAGATCCCGCACCACCTGCTTGGCATATCGCACCACCTGACAGGTGGGTGTTTTAAGTGTCCTTGTTGTTTCGCCTACCCACGTTGGCACCCGGAAAAAAACAAAAAAGAAAGGAAGAACAACAAACGGAAAAACAACAAACACATTAACCACAAAAAGAAACAGGAAGAACAAACACATGAAAATCAACTAGCCACACGACAAACATCATTCAAAAGCAAAACAAAAACGGAAAAAAACAACGCCGAGCGAACGTCTCCGAGCTCGTTTGGTTTTTTGGGTTTCCCGCATTTCACCAAATTGTTCGCCGCGCGAATTTCGCATTTCGCTGGATTCGACGGATTCGCCGGATTCGACGGGCCGCGCCTTGGTGTTGGAGGCCCAGTTCTCGGAGCCGAGCTGACAGGCGGACTCGCTGGTCAAGGTGTAGCCGTCGTTGCAGGCGGCGCACCTCGGACGGCTCGGGCCGGCGGGCTCGGCGGCTCGGGCTCGGATCCCCCGCTAAGGGTTCAAGCGAAATCCAACCACGAAACAACTCACTGGCTGAGATGGCCTAAAAAAGGTCCAAACTTTATATTTGCCACTAAAATGGTCTTCCCAAAAAGCTTAAAGTTCATAAACTCAGGAAGTAAGAACACTAACAAGCTCAGAACCTAAGGAACCGGATGACTGGGAAGAACCAACAATTGCGTGGCTCGTCTGTTTTGGTTTGTTGGTACTCCTTGTTTGGTGCGTAAAAACACAAACAACACTGGGCTGTCTCTGATCTCCCGCTAAAAGTTTAACCTTCAGCGGGTTAAATGGAAACCAACCACTAAACAAAAAAAACAAAAACAATCTAAGGAACCGGATGACTGGGAACCACCAAAAATTGCGTGGCTCGTCTTTTTTGGCTTGTTGGTACCCCTTGTTTGCTGGTATTTCAAGCGATCTCGAAAGGAAGACCGCCACCTGTTTTGGGGGGGGTCCAACCTTGTTAAACACAAACAGGAATTCACTGTCTGCATCTTACATTGGGATTCCTTGATTTCATGCAACAATATGCCCATGCAAAAGGCTGCAACAACAGGTGATGGGTGTTGTCGTTCCTTGTAGATTGAGTAGACCCAAGAAGTAGATTGAGGTAGCAATACTGGGTCCTCCAGTAGAGAGGTTAGAATACGAGTACCCTTGTTTTTCTGTAGTCTATTTTAGTAGGGGAACCCTCCCCCAAAGAAGGGTAAAAGGGCACAACGGGGGCACCTAGAATAACACTAGGAAGGTCACATGGAACACATCCCTGCCTTCCATCATTGCGCTTGTGTGTTGCCAAAAGGAAGAGCAAGTTCAGGCGCAGATCAACTTGCTGGTGCTCAGTAGCATGAGGGAATGAACCCAGGGGTCCCCTTAAGGGAAACCACCAGTTGGATGGTTTATAGGGGTCATTCCATTTCTCATTCCCTGCCTATCGCACCAGCAAGTCAATGTCAGTGCACGATTGGTAAACCGATCAAAGGCTTCCCATTTGCCTCCCACATTCCCACCAATACTAAAGTAAAGGGCCAACAATGCCAACAAAACCCAACCCAATCATTTGTCGGGCCTCCCCAACTCTCCCCCCCCCATTTGTGCCCACCTGGAGCCCTCAAGTCAAAATTCCTGAGAAAAGCTTTCATTTTGCTTAGTCATTTGAAACCCTACCATACTGGCCAACATTGACTAGAATGGGCTTTACAAACTCCTTCATCATAAAACATTCACCAAGCCTCTGAATTTTCACCTTCAAACCAAACCAAACCCACCAAACACAAAAACACGCCCCTTTAAGTTTTCACCTCCAAACCAAAGCAACCATCGCTTCGATCTCCCGCGTCCGCTTCCGTCAACTCCGCGCGCTTCGGTCGGAATTGAAGGCGCTGGTCGAAGGCGGTCATGGCCATCTGCGCCTTGCAGGCCTTGCAGCCCGCGCCGGGGCCGGGGGTGCAGGTGAAGGGCTTGCAGCTGGTAAAGTTCACCAGGCCGTAGCCCGCGTTGCCTCGAATGGGAGGCAAGCGACGAATGGGAGGCGGGGGGGGGGGGGTTGGGAGGAAGGGGGGGAAGAAGGAGACTTGAAGCATGAAACTGGGCAGGGGACAGCTGGAGCTGGTTGAAAGTGGAAAAAATGGAATGAAGAAACACCGAAAGGGTTTTTCCAGGGAGAAAAGGCGAGTGGAGTCTGGCAAAGCAGAAAGCCGAATGGAATCCAACCAATTCATGAGACCCAATAACTCTACCTAGAGTCTCCATGAACCGAATCAAAAATGGGTCAATGACCCCATTGTTTTGGGCAATGACCCCAGTTTTTAAGGGTCATAGAGACTCCAGGTACATCAAAAGTGGCACAAAGCTTCATGGGCCAAATCCTGCGGATCCAAAGTCTTACCAAAGAAGAGGTGCGTGATGTTTGTTGAAAGAGAAGCCAAACGAACACCAGTGGGGCCCACTATCTTTGCATACACCTGCATGCATGCATGTATGCATATACGTATTATATATATATACATATATGCGTGTGTGCACGTTTTGTTTGGTTGGTTGATTTGTTGATTGATTGATTGATTGATTGATTGATTGATTGATTGATTGATTGATTGATTGATTGATTGACTGATTGCTTGCTTGCTTGCTTGCTTGCTTGCTTGGTTGTATGGTTGGTTGGTTGCTTGGTTGGTTGATTGATTGATTGGTTGATTGATTGGTTCATTGATGGCCTGGCTGGTCTGCTGGTTGGTTGATTGGTGTTCACAAAGACGCTCCAAGCAGCGCTTGTCAACCACCCCTTGGGCAAGCCGAGGGGCAGGTGCTGCACTGGTCCGGCTGTGTGCGCGTGGACTGGGTGCGGCAGGTCTTGCCTTGGCGGACGCAACTAATAATTTTGATCAGTGGGGCGTGGGAGAAACAAACATGGATAAGTGGGGATTAGTGGGGATTAGTGTGGATTAGTGGGGATTAGTGTGGGTTAGCGGGGGTTACTGGGGATTGGTGGGGATTAGTGGGGATTAGCGGGGATTAGTGGGGGTTAGTGGGATTAGTGTCCATCATTAAGCTGCGTTTGGTTCATGGAAGTGGAAATCGGGCCTTCACACAAAAAACAGTCTTCCAAAACCCTGTCCACTTCCATTGGACAGAGGCTAAAATTGCTGATTTTCAGCAGGCAATGAGGAATGACCGAACTAAACCATCCCCTACGGTTTCCTTTAAGGGAAACCCCTTCTGTTTCTTTGCCAACACCCGGAATGCCATTTCCTATCGCACAAGCAAGTAAAGATCAAAATGGCTTCCGTCCAAGTTGCATAGGGCACCCTGCCCCTCGCTGCAAGGCAAAGCTTCGCAGGTAAGGTCCTCCTTGAGTCGGTAGCCTGGCGATTCCGTTTTGAGACCTCCGCTTGTTTTGTGCCAAGGTACACTTAAACCCGGTTCATTCCCCCCGAAACTGTTTTATCAACCACCCTATCAGTAGCGGATTGCATAATACGTGTATATATGTATATATGTACACACACACACGTATACGCGTAGAATCGTGCGTAGACATACACACCTTGTTGAATGGAATGATGTGGACAGTATGTTTTAGATGTTTGATAGTTTATTGATAACACAATTGATCATTATGATGGAATATCAAATGACCAATTCTTGCATGTGCTACGCTTGTTCTCCTTTTCTATCATCATCAAGTATGAATGATAGTTGCGATCTGTGAACATTAACACTAAACTAGTGCTGTACATGCGATCAAACAAAACACAAAGCAAAGCAAGCAGGATTCTAGTCATCCAAAAGCGGGACACCAATTTGGGCCCATTGATGAACATAAACAAAGCCGCTTCACATAGTGCTCGCTACAGTATCTCATTGCGAATTTTCTTGGCAGAAAGACCAAGAATCCAACTCGCACTTTGCCAGCCAAGCTATTCGAACAAAGCATCGAGCGACGGGCGCCTGAAGAGGCCAACCCTTTCGGAGAACAGGTTCTTACCCCTTAAAACTCCAAGCCCTGGGGAAGTTAATCTTTTACAGACATATAGCCCATGTCACCCAAAAAGTTGAAAAGTTGTGCTTTTAAGAGGTAAGGGTTTGTCTTGCTGGTGCTCATGGAATGACCAAGAGTGTTGGGAATGAACTTGGGGGACCATAGGGTCATTCCATTTCTCATTCCTGCAGAGCACCAGCAAGAAAATCCAATCGGGTGGTTTGCGGTTCCCCTTCAACCCTCCCGAATGAGGAGTGTCGACCCCAGATTCAACCCGGTGGGTTGAAAGGAAGCTTCCCCCCTTAAAAGTGTATGGGGCACACCTCCATGGGTGCCTCTGATTTCTGGGTTCCCGTTGCCCCCGGCCCCCCGCCCCACGCACACAAACAACACACACGCACACACACAGCAGCCCTGCGCTGCTCGCCTGGGTTGCACTGGTAGCACTGGCCATCCGCGGTGCGCCCTTGAAGCTGCGTGCAAATGCGGCACTGCTCCTGGCGTTTAACGGATGCTTTGGCCAAAGCAGCAGACCAAAGAATCAAGTGCCTAGAGTCTCCATTACCGTTTAAAAATGGGTCAATGACCCCATTATTTTGGGTTAGTGAGGTTACCGACCCCATGTTTTAAGGGTCATGGAGACTCCAGGTGGACGTTGCGACGCCCTTCATGTTGCTCCAGCCACCTGTAAAAAAGAGATGTTGCCACAGCCACCTGTTGAAAAGAGATGTTGTTCTGCCACAGCGACCTGTTGAAAAGAGATGTTGCTCCAGCCACCTGTAAAAAAGATGTTGTCACAGCCACCTTTTGAAAAGAGATGTTGCCAAGCACAGTCTTGGAAGACGCGACTCTGCTGTCACCCTAAACCCATGTTTGGGTCTGCTTGCAGAAAAGCTTGCCCCTAATTGCAAGGCGGCCAAAAACAAAAGACGCGGGCAACGAAACAACGTGTCACCTTCTACCGTCAACAAGTTATTTCATTCCCTTCTGTTTTCCTTTCGGCACCCAATGGGGTTTCCCCAAACACGAGCCGCTCAGCCGTCCTTGTCGCCCTCTGTGCACTCGAAGGGGACGCACTGGAAATCCACCAGCCTGGCGTTTTAGGCAGGCAGCTTAGCGCAGCTTTCCCTACCGAGGTTTGTCCATTCTGCAAGGCCACAGATCGCAACCTTTGCTTCCACGTGCTTCTCAATCTTCTGTTCCTCAATTCTACCGACATACTGTGGATGGTTGCGAAATCCTCTTAGGCAAAAAAATGCGGAATGATTCTATTCGATTCCCACTGTAAAAACCGACAAACAATGATTTCCACTGGCTTTAAAGTGGTGCAGGAATTTGTCCGTCCAAAGTGGGACTGTACGTGAACTCACCATACTCAACCCAAGGACCGGAAAACTGTGTGGCATTGCGACATCAGGGGGGTCAACAGATTCCAACTTCGACTATTTGGGTTTTCAACTCACTGTTCGTACTGAAATATCTATGCCTGGCATGCGTCACATGCCTCAGGCGAGCCTGCCCAGCTTTTTGCTGGTAAAGCGGTCACTGTCTTGCAAGACAGGGGTGTTCATTTGGATGCTTCTCCAAATAGGCAACCCATTCTTTGGTTTGCTTCCTTTTGGTTTCCCTTTACAACGCTCTAAAAAGAGGTCCACCGTTTTTTGAAGAAAAACAAACTTTCAGTGCAACTACGGCGTCAAGGCAGGCGGCTTGTATCCGCGATGGCAGGTGCTGCACTGGTGGTCGTCAGTGCGGTTCTCCAGCACCCGGCACTTGGCGCAGCCCTCGGCTTCCTTGGCACGTGCCCTAAGGCCGAGTTCCAGGTCCTCCAGTAGAGAGAGGTTAGAATGCGGGTACCAACTTTTTTCTGGAGTCTATTTTAGTAGGGGAACTCTCTCCCCAAAAAAGGGTAAAAGGGCACTACTGGGGGACCTAGGATTTCTACCTGGAGTCTCCCTAAGGACCCTTAAAACATGGTTAGTCATGACCCAAAATAATGGTTGGTCATTGACCCATTTTTGATTCGGGTCATGGAGACTCGTAGTCTTGTCTAGGTCACCCGTGCAGAGGCTAGAATGAGTTGGTACCGATTTGGATTTCAACCACTAAACCACAATAAGCAAACGTGTAAAATTTTTCCCAACAACAACCATGTAAACTCAGAGATCGCAACGACTAAACCCAAGCTTTGCGAAGCACCCCAAGTTGGGTAGGTCTTGAACGAAGCCCTGTTGCCGAAAAGGCAAACAAACAGAAATGACATATTCGGATGAACACATGACAGTTACTGGCTAGCGCCTGGATTCCCAGGTGTGCCTAATACCGATATCGCTTGACGTGATGCCCCCAAGGCCAAAGGAGCACGCTTTCGCAAGGCAGGGGATTTCACTGGATCGGCACCGCTTGCCGAATTTCTTCGATGCAAAGGGCCGCTCTCGAATACGGTTACCCTCCCCCAGACTCGCATGGAAGCTCCCGAACGGACTCTTTTGGAAGACTTGGTCCATTTACAAAGGCCTTCTGGGAGCTTCCAGGAAAACCGTCTGAGGGAGTGTTTTGGCTTTCTGGTGAGGATTGTGAGGCAAGCGCAGAATAGCTCTGGGCAGCGTCTCTTTGCCCGATCCCTGCACCCTTGCTTAAAAGCGCTTCCAAAGCAATGCCGTACCCCCAAACACGAGCAACTCACCATACATGTTCCCTTCATGGAAACGCACGGAGGGGGGCCCCCTTCTTGGTATTCCTGCGAGGACAACCATGTGTCCTCGCAACCTTGCTGCTCGGCAGGGAATGAGGAAATGACCCCTATCAACCACCCAACTGGTGATTTCCTTGAAGGGGCCCGACTCCTGGGTTCATTGAACCACATTCCCTATACTTGTCCCACCAAGCAACCGCATCCACCGAAGTCATGTCAACGGCGTGTATGCCGAGGGGCGGTGCACGCGAAGGCTTCGCAGCTTCCATCCGGGCCGAGTTTGAAGCCCGCGTTGCACTCCGCGCATTGGCCCTCCGCAGTGCGCACCTCTTGCGGCTGGCACGCCTGCGCCCAGCCCGGCTGCCAACCCGCCCCGGCCTCCTCCATTGGTTCCCGAAAAAGAGCCGGGATATATAAGTGTGTAAACAGAGGTCGACCACTGGAAACTCTAGCCCAATCTATGAGCTCGCAGAACATGAGTTGCAGAGCTTGACATACCGGAGGCTTGGGATGAAAGCACGGATTCTTGATTTGCCAAAATCCATGAATCCATGAACCTTTGTATCGTGGGATTGCTGGCTGCATGTTGCCTTTGATTTCCCCAGCTTGGGACAAAACCAACGTACAAACCGATGGTTTGCTCCCGAGACTTCACAGCAACTCATGCTTTGCTCCCGTCCCTGTGGAGGCGTGAACTGACACACATCCTCCAGCACCTAATATCCCCACAGATCAAAATAATGGGTACACCACCTGTTGCTTCAGGCAACAATGAGACCATGTGAGCCAATTCATGCCAATTGAACCCTTGGTTCTCACTTGGCTATCTTGAATGTGGCGGACTTTGCTCGTGCCCATGTAACAATGCCGGCCACAACCTTTTGTCACACAGGTTCACCAGCCAGCACTCTGCTTCAAGGCTGTTCCGACTCTCCACAGACCTAAATGTTTCCCGGACCTTGGCGTGTTCGCATCTCCGGCCCACCCCGCCCGTTTCAATCCAACCGAACCGGTCACCATGCCCACTGACGCCGCACCGACGCACAGCCCTAGGAAAGGGATTCGAATCTCAGCACACCCTAAAAGGATACCTGGAGTCTCCATGACCCTTAAAAAATGGGGTCATTACCCAAAACAATGGGGTCATTGACCCATTTTTAAAGGGTCATGGAGACTCTAGGTAGTCTGGAGGCCATTGACCTAGTGAGTCAAAACGACTCATTGGCCGGTACAGCAAATGAATAGTTTCCGAATGATCTTGCCAAAGATTAGCCATGCTGTGTGACTCTCCTTGGGCAATCACAAGTGCGTGCAACTGCCACAGGCTCAATAAACGGGCCTTGCACGCGTCGTAGGAGCCAGTGCTGCAAGTAAAAGGCTCGCAGCGCGCGTCCTCTAACTTATAGCCCGCCTAGGGAAAAGCAAAGCCGGCGAAGCCAACTGCCAAATCCCTGTCGGTCCACTCCCCCACTTCTGAAGCGACTCAGGTGAAATCTGAAATTCCAGCGTGAGAGAACACAGGATCGTTAAACTTGCAATAGTGAGGCGACGCCCCAAGTGCGCAACAATTTCACAAAGACTGGTGCACTGGCTGTAACCAGTGCTGCTCTCCTGGCGACCAGTCAGAAGTGAAGCCCTCAAAAGCAAGCTGGCTTTTTGCACCGAAGCACTTCCAACAGGAGCCGTGCAAGTGCAGGCAGGGTATGGCAGGGTGTACTCACTGCTGTGGCCATGAAAACAAAAAACAGAAGCATTTTCACCTCTTTTTGGGGTTTTCCATTTGGACGGCGTGGGGCCTTTCTGATGGCCTCTCCGCTGAGTCTCTGTCGCTGGCTATTTCACCTTGACGAACCCCACATTGCATGCGCATATAAACCTCCCAGGCGACCCCCCCTCTATCCCCACCCAACTGGGAAAACATGGGGCTGCCCGTCCATACGTGAAGGGCCCCTCCATACATGCATTGCTCGGGCAGGGGTTTCAGGATCTTCCCGCTTTCCGCCTTGCACTCGGCGCACTGGTAGTCGGCGGTCAGCTCCTTTTCATCTCGGCAGGTCTGACAGTTCTCGATCTCCGTTGCGGCGCAGGTGAACTTGGTGCAGGTGTGGTCGCCTTGATCCGATTCGAGGCGGAAGCGAAATGTACCTTCCTAGGGTGGCCCATTTGTGCCTGAAGCGCCCTTGTGACCTTGTGTGGGTCATTTCGCATACCAATTGACAGCCCTTGGGGTGTTAAACAGAACAGCAAGACCCTTGTTCAGTTGATGACAAATTATGTTGCCCTGTGTCTTCACGGGTGCATTTCCTTCACCTATGATATGATCATGCCTCCAATCCACTCCAAGCTTTGGATAAGGCTGGAGCTGGTCAGATGTTCTCATAGAAACTGGCAAATGAATGCGGTGCTTCCCGTTCTCCCAGATTCCATGAGCGCGCTGGAGCACCCATTGGGTACTTTCGGCGCAGTGATGTTGGGAAAATCACCACACAAAAACGGCCTGAGGGTTGCTCCAAAGGCTGGTTCAGTCGGCTCATTTTTTTTTGCCACGGAAGGACACCCCCTCAGGTGCTCAGAAACCAGGCCCCAAGCATCTAAGTTATTTTGAGTTCACAAACCTGACTGAAACTGCTCCCATTATTTATCACCATGATCAAAGCCACCCCCCGAAGTGGCAGACTACAGGGAGACAACCCCATGTTCTGACTTTGACAATGACCCGTCAAAGTAATGACCCCAGTTCAAACAACTAAGAGGCCTCCAGTTGAAATGGCTCGTCTTTGTTTGCGGGCACCCCTTGTTTGTGGGTTTTGAAGGGAAACCAAAGGAACATCCTTCCGTTTAAGGGAGTCCCCTCAACCAAAAGGCACACACACACACAGGCTTGCATCATGGCGCCATTGTGCTTGTAGCCTGGCTTGCAGGCCACGCACTGGTTGTCTGCCTCGGCAAATGGCTCGATTCTTGATTGGAAAGTGGGGCTCACCCACAAAAACACCTGGGCTGGGTCCTCCAGTAGAGAGGTCAGAATCAGGGCAAAAGGGCACTACTGGGGGGACCTAGTGGCCTTGTCTCAAAATAGGATCCAACCAAAATGAAAAGGCTTTCCAAAGGCTTGCCTACTTGGACCGTCGTTGCCAAGTTAGTTCGCAACTTAGCCTGGGCTATGCCCAACTGACAGGGTGGCTCCACTGAAAAGGGGACCGTTCAAAGTGGGATAGAACCCAGCTGGCCAACTTTTTAAGTTAGCTGAACAAGTGCCCTGTGGCTTTCCCCTCAAATTTTCCAACAGGGGTCTACCGTTTGCTCAAGGCCCCTGGAAAAAATGACCGTATATTCAGTAGTGACAATTTCCCTTTAAAACCAACAAGGCATTATACAAAAATACTCAAGCAAATGGAAGGGGCCCATTTTGAGAACTCTGCATGTTCCTATGAATTTTGGCCGTGCCATTGCCCCACTTGAAAACCATGGGAGACCATTATTTGTTGATATTTACAGGGGGAATCGTATGATTCCAGGGTTTCTGAGGTGGTACAGGATTCTGTCCATCCACAGGGGAAATCGGTGGTCCACCAAAAATCAAAACAGCATGGGAAGCGCGGAAAGTCCCTGTTGAAGACTCGCATCCTCTTGCTTCAGGCGCCATGTAGGTGACTCTGCTGAGCTCAACCCCCAGCCACGATCAACAAGCATGGCCTGTGATTCCTTCGGGTTTCTTTGGGCTCGTGAACGCAACTGCTTGCAGCAGCATGCAGATTGCCGAAGCGGTTCATGCATGTATTGCATGGTTTGAGGATGGCCGAAGCGGTTTCTGTGTAAGGAAGCATATATACATATATATATATATATATATACTAGTATACATATATATATATATATACACATTGTGCATCTGAATGAGGGATACCCGCATCTGAGTAAAGGCGACCTCATTGTTCAGACCTCGGAAATCCGTACAAGGTATTGCTAGTACCTGCAGCTGAGAGAATAGGACATGCCTTTCATGAAAAATAGCAATCCTTTGAACCATTCAGACCACACGCCCTTCTGCCCGCACTAATCCATACAGGGAATCACGCAATTGCTTCAAGACCAAAACAAGAGCCACCAAAACCTTCTTCTTCTTCTTCTTCTTCTTCCACACGGCTGAGGGGATCAATCCGCGCCACATGCTGTTCGCAAACGAATTTCAAAACCACATCAACGAAAACAAAACGACACGAGCGAACGAGCGAACCGGGCCCAGCGTCCGTCAGCTCCTTCTGTGCCCGGCATTTGGCGCAGTTTCCGGAGTCCGACTCATCGCAGTCGAACGCCTCACAGGAGTTGGTTTAGAAATTCGGGTCACTTTGAATACTTGAGGAGCGGGTGAACGAAAGCTAGCAGTTGTTGCATGAGATGGGTCGGTGACAGAGTGGATTCATGGGTAGCTTGTGTACAACGAGAGGCCCGGCAAGATTCGTAAAACGCACATGGTGGCGTGGCAAAGGGGGGCGGGAGGGGGGGCGGGGAGGGGGGGCGGGGAGGGGGGGCGGGAGGGGGGGCGGGAGGGGGGGGGGCGGGGAGGGGGGGCGGGAGGGGGGGCGGGAGGGGGGGGGGCGGGGGAGGGGGGGGCGGGAGCGGGGGGCGGAGACGGAGGGGGGGGGGAGGGGGGTGGGAGGGGGGGGGTAAGAGGGTAGAGTATGTATAATGTGTCGCGGGACCCTTTCCTGCATATATAGCGCAATTTCAGGCCCAATGCTGCTTAAATACATCTTTTAAATATTTTAAATCCGCGGGTCGTGATTTCTGGAGCTGGGGCCGATTTAAAATTTCAAATATTTAAAATATTTTAAATCCCCGGGTCCCTGATTTAAAATATTTAAAATATTTAAACTGATTTGGGGCCTAAGTATTTTAAATATTTTCAATATTTTAAATATTTTAAATCCCCGGGTCCTGATTCTGGAGCTGGGGCCGATTTAAAATTTTAAATAATTTAAATATTTTAAATATTTTAAAAAGTTTAAATCCCCGGGCCCCCAATTTAAAATAATTGAACTATTTAAACTGATTTGGGGCCCAAATATTTTAAATATTTTAAATATTTTAAATCCCCGGGCCCCGATTTAAAATATTTAAAATATTTAAGCTGATTTGGGGCCTAAATATTCTAAATATTCTAAATATTTTAAATCCCCGGGTCCTGATTTCTGGAGCTGGGGGCGATTTAAAATTTTAAATAATTTAAATATTTTAAATATTTTAAATATTTTAAATCCCCGGGCCCCGATTTAAAATATTTAAAATATTTAAGCTGATTTGGGGCCTAAATATTCTAAATATTTTAAATATTTTAAATCCCCGGGTCCTGATTTCTGGAGCTGGGGCCGATTTAAAATTTTAAA